ATAAATAACAGTTCTCAATTTTACGGTAAATCGGCTTTTGCCTTCTTATTTAAGTAAATCTATACTTACGAGACGTAAGTATAGTTAATCTAAGTTAAGCAAACTACGCTTCCTCATACACGTGCGCTAATGTGTAAGCCGAAGTAGTGGGCACCATTACAAAGCCCATTCTGCGAGAATTTGCGACTTCATCGTTTCGTACTCATTTCTATCGGCAGTGAAGTGGAGATTATGCAGATCGCGCAGCACCATTGGAAAGAGAGTAGGTCTAGCCCCTTGGCCTTCTCGTATACATTTTTGGTGACATGAAAATAGCACATTAGATGTACCAGTAAACAATCTTCCGCAAAAACCTCTTCAACTGCGTTCTGTTGTCCCTTGTCCGCGTCAGCCATCACGAAGTGCACCAGGAGCGGCTTACCCACAACTCTTTGATACACGTAGCGCATGGCGCCAAGAGCTTTCGCGTGGTGAAACTGCTTTTGCTGCGACATAATCACGACAATATGGTGAATCGATGCCTGCCTCCTCCACCTTCATGAGGTTAAGGTGCTGGCGGGCGAGGGTCTTGCCTCTCCAAAGACACGACATGACCGCGTCACACATTTGGCAGTTGCAGACTAGGAGGCGTACACGCATTGCGTGTGGAGCTGCATGGCTACACAGTCCACACGTCCACACGAAACAAGATGGCTATTTGTCACCTTGAACGTCTTCAAGGATTCCAGCAGCATTTCTGCATCAGAGAGGGCACCGTCCTCCAGCTTCCGGCCCCAGCAGAGCTGCACGCGAATCGACGAGGTTCGAAATAATTTCTTTTCTTTTTATCAGTTCCGCTCCCGATTCCTTACCTGCTTTCATGTACATTGTCTGTCTGAGCGGCGCATGACACGCTAGGCTCAGTACAGATACTATGTTTCGAGTAGTAAAAGCAATAACACGGTAGGCCGTCTTGATCGACATTTACAACCTTTGTTCCACATTGTCATTTTGACAAATGAGTTTATCATAAAATGGCAGGGGCGGAGGCAGGCCAAAAATGTAGGGGGAGGTAGGGGCAGCCTAAAATATAAAAAAGCGATCCAGTTTTGGGCTGCAAATCAATCAAAATAGGGATTCGAACACATTTTTTTTACCCCCCCCCCCAATGCCCTCACTTCGCCACAGAGTTTATGTGGAATGAAAGTAGTACTTACGGGTATTCTTTTATACATTAGCCTTTCATTTAAACAGCAGTCTCGGGCAGCTTTTGGCCAGTAGTCTCAGCCTCGGCCTCCTCTTCCTGCTTCGTTCCCTTTTCCTTCGGTGGAATGCTAATAACGCGCTTACCGCACAGCGAGTAGTGGTAGCCCGGTTCGAAGCGGTCTTCAATGTTCGTACGCACCAGGAACAGAACCACAAAACCGATGCATACGATAACGAAGATAACTTGAATGTTGTCGATGTACGCCTCACCCACGCTCATACCGTCAGCAATTTTGCCATTGTAAGCGTTGTTGAAGGTGATGCCGCCGACAACAGCACCGAAGGCCAGGGACGTGAGGATGATGCCATGCAGGGGACCGACGTTGTAGGCGCCAAACATGTCGGTGACAAGGGCCGGGATCGTACCAAGGCCGCCGCCGTAGCTGCATGTGAGCACGAAAATCTCGATAACGAAGAACGTGAAGCTTTCGTGACGGATGACCGTGGGCAGCGAACCGATCACAATAATTTGCGCACCCAGGGTGAAGAAGTACAGCACTTTGCGCGCGTACGTCTTCTCTATTTTGAAGTAGCGCACGAGAAAATCCGAGATGGACGAGAACGCTAGACGACCACAGCAGTTGAACACACTGTTGATTGACACAATGTCGGAGGCCGTGTTCGCACTCTTGGCGAAAATGTCCGTGCACATACTGGACAAGCGGGACAGCACGATGACACCGAAGAGCTGGTTGGCGAAGAACATGATGTACATGAAAATGTAGTCGGGTGAGAAGATGGCCTGCTTGAGTGTCATCGATTTGATCGGAGACTTCGATGCATTCACAGCCTCCGGCTGGTCCGCTCCTGTGGGTGTCTGGACCACCTTGTAAGCAGTGCTCAATTTCTCTTCCATTGTATCGCCATCGTGGACAGCATTGCCGTCGATGTTGAGACCGTGGATCGTAAAATCGGTTGGCGGGACTCGAAGAACCAAGGCAGAAGCAAACATTACAGCGCTCATGACTGCACCGAGCAAAACGAACATCCACGGGAGGCCAACAGCGTCAATCGTAGGCAGGTACACCTTGCTCCACACAACCGATCCTGCACCGGAACCAGCGACAGCGAAACCAGCGGCAGTACCGCGGTAGTCGGGAAACCATTTCTGAAGTGTCGACACGGGCGAAATGTAGCACATACCCAAACCAATGGCGGTGATGATTCCGTATCCGATGTAAATACAGGCAATGGCCTTGTAGTGAATCCCGAGAGCCGTGACGATGTGGCCGATCAAGAATAATGTCGTACCGATGGATACAGCCCAACGGGGTCCCTTACGCTCAATGATGGGTCCTAGAATTGCCGCGGCTGTTCCAAATACACCCATGGCAATATAGAAGGCATTTACTGCACGGCCCTTCTTGGCATCGCCGTAGACGGCCAAGTCGATGGGGTGGTTGAGTACTGACCAGGCGTAGATGCACCCAATGCAGAACTGCACCGCAAAAGCTGCGACGAACAGGTACCAACGCGAGAATGTAAGTCCAAACATTGTTGTAGAGGCTCAGGCGACCGGCGAATGAAGACTTTTGCGTCGGGTAGTCGATTCCAAACTGAGCGGGTGTATTGACCTCGACTGGAGGCTCGAGGTCTCGTTGGCGCCTTCGGATGGTTGTCGGGACGCAGGAAAGCATTGACATCGAGATAGGCGGTTCGATTCGTGTGTCTGTTTGTGATGCACTTGGTCTAGCACGGACGTGCGATCGGGCATGTGCTTCACCCACGGTGTAAGCTTCTTGCTATTGTGTCCATGTACATGTACCGTTTCCAGCCTTGGATTCCAAGTTGGAACTATATACCTGGGAATGCCAGATATTTAGTTTTACAAAGCAGTATGCATGTATCCTGTTTTGTACAAAGTTTTTTGTAAACTAACGTTACATGGGAAGAAAGTTGTAAGTCCGATTTCTGGTTGGTAATCATCTATAGCACGATACATGGTTGTGTCTTCAAAAGAAAACACAAGAATATGAGCAGTGCTCCCATCGGATGGACGGAGGAGGTAGCAGAGGAGAGCTACAAGTGCTGTTGTTGGTTTCTAATTCGGTAGTGCTTGAACTGTTTGCATACAAATGCAGTTTTAATGTTAAGCAGAATAGTGCGACTCGCACTATACTGTTTTTAGTGCTGTTCGCACCTCTTTGCTGAGCTTGAAGCTCAGCTTCAGCATGACACTGGTACCCGCTTGCAATGACGCCATCTACGGAAGCGAGGTACATGCGTCGCCGGCGACGGCTGCCGTCGTCGTCACGGCTGCAGTTACTTGTGATTTGCCACTTGATGCCTGATGAACGACGCCAAGCGTAGCAGTAACATGTATAGGCAGTCGCTGTAACCGGAGAATTCTTTCTGCTTTGTTTTCGATCGCTTTGCTTTGGAAGCACTTAACCGTAATGATCGGGCTCACTTTTCTCATATACATGTACTCAATTTGAACTACTTTTGTACAACTTGCAAATTAATACTATTCGATACTGGTATGCTCTCGATTCCCTTTAAATTCGGATAGAACTCACGAATTTGAATAAAATCCGAAATTAGGATCGCAGCTTGAAAAAAAAAAAAAAAAACGGATGTTCCCTGTCGTGACGGTACCGCTCGACAAAAATGCAACATCGCGAATAGACTTGGCGATTCAAATCGCCCGCAGAGGTCCAATTGACACAAACAGGCCGCCAAGACGCGACTCGCGCGGCACGCGACGAGACGAGGCTTGGCAGAGCAGAGCAGCTTTCCCAAGTTGGGAAAGCTGTTGGGAATATCCCAACGCGTGAATCCAAAACTTCACCCCATCGCCGCAACGAGTCTACTGTACAGTGGTGCGTAGTTCATCGGAAAGCACGGAAGCCTGGCTTCAGGTCGTACAATACTATCTCGTACAGGTATCTGATTGACATGTGAGTGAATGCTTGCAACACGTTGATGCCTTACTAAGTACCAATAGTGACACCCACGGTACAAACGAGATACTGGAGAAGAGTTTAAGTGGGATGAAAGCAGAGCGTATTACTTAAATTCACAAACGCTACCTTACATTTAAACAGCAGTCTCAGGGAGCTTATCCGTGGCAGTAGCAGCTTCAGCCTCCTGCCGCTTCATCACATCTTTCTCCTTGGGCGGGATGCTAACCACGCGCTTGCCGCAGACAGAGTAGTGGTAACCCGGCTCAAAGCGGTCCTTCGCATTTGTGCGCACCAAGAACAGCACAGCAAAACCAATGCACACAACAACGAAGATGATCTGAATGTTGTCGATGTAAGCTTCGCCCACAGACATGCCATCAGCGATCTTGTCGTTGTACGCATGGTTGAAGCTGAGTCCACCAGCGACACCGCCAATAGCCATAGCAGTCAAAATGATGCCGTGCATGGGACCAATGTTGTAGGCGCCGAACATGTCCGCGACAAAGGCGGGGATGGTACCGAAACCACCACCGTAGCTGCATGTGAGCACGAAGATTTCAATCACGAAGACCGTGTAGCTGTCATGGCGAATGACCGTGGGCAGTGAACCGATCACGATAACTTGGGCACCCAGAGTGAAGTAGTAGAGCACCTTGCGGGCGAATGTCTTTTCGATCTTGAGGTAGCGGACAAGCACATCCGAAATGGCGGGGAAAGCAAGACGACCGCAACAGTTGAACGCACTGTTGATGGACACGATGTCCGAAGCAGTACCGGCGCTCTTGTTGAAGATGTCGGTGCACATACTGGAGAGGCGAGATAGCACAATGACACCGAAGAGCTGGTTGGCGAAGAACATGATGTACATGAAGATGTAATCGGGCGTCAAAAGCGCCTGCTTGAGCGTCAGCTTCTTGATCGACGAACTGGCAGAGACCTCGTTATCCGCACCCGTGGGCGTCTGAACCGCCCTGTAGCTGCCTTCAAGCTTCTCCTCCAGGAGGTTTTCATCGACACGGTCACCGTGGATGTCAAGACCATTCACAGTGTAGTTTGGTGGAGGCACTCGGAGAACTAGGGCAGAAGCGAACATGGCAATGCTCATAATTCCACCAAGCAGGACAAACATCCAGGAAAGACCAACAGCGTCAATGGTGGGCAGGTACACCTTGCTCCACACAACGGAACCGGCGCCATAACCAGCAACGGCGAAGCCAGCTGCAGTACCGCGGTAGTCGGGGAACCACTTCTGAAGTGTCGATACAGGCGAAATGTAGCACATGCCCATACCCGTGGCGGTGATGACACCGTATCCGATGTAAATCCAGGCGATGGACGTGTAGTGGACTCCGAGGGCCGTGACGATGTGGCCAATCATGAACAATGTCGTGCCAATGAAGACCCCCCACCTGGGGCCCTTGCGTTCGATGGTAGGGCCCATAAGCGAAGTCGCGACGCCGAAGACACCGATAGCAATGTAGAAGGCATTCACTGCTCGGCCTTTCGTGGGATTGTTATAAACAGCCAGATCGATGGGGTGGTTGAGCACCGACCAGGAGTAGATGCAGCCAATACAGAACTGCACGACGAAGGCCGCGCCGAAGAGGTACCAACGCGAGAAGGTGAGTCCGAACATGTCGAACAGATCGGACGGTTAGGGGCTTGCTGGGTTGAAGACTTCTGCTTGAGGAGGCAGATTCCAAACTGAGCAGACTCTCAGACTCGCAGGAAGAAGGAGTGTGGTTGGTGCTCGCGATGAGAATCCCTTTGGGATGTCTTGCGAGATCCAATGGGAAAGCCGGGGAAACGCCTGTCTGTCATGCAGCGGGTGTAGACGCCGCAACGCGAAGACAGCGGTTCAAGCAAAAAAAAACCAAAACCTTCGATACGTAGTCTTTCTCTACAAAGTCGAGCCATCCCGTCATGGAATGGCTTGACTTTGGATTCCCGTAAGCATATATGTATTGTGTTGAATGAAAAGAGTTCCACGCAGCAGACTTGGTGCGTATTTGCAGACGGCGATGTTGGCCGTGCACATACACACTGGACTCACTTTCGTAATGTGACCACCTCCATTCATTTTTGCTCGTGGGGTACCGCCGAGATTAAAATCGAGGTATTAATACCTAGTGAAAATACACGACCCCTCTGGGTGTTTATGCTCAAGGCACGCACATCCCAACCCTCCTGACACCGTGTGCATCATGGATGGCAAATGGCAACCTGTTTGCTGACATCGATGGCGGCTTTCGCATCGGTGAATCACAACTGTGATCACTTCGAATAGAGGTACATTCGCCTAAGGATAAGGCAGCTCATCGACAAAACCGAGAGCTGTGCACAAGCTCACCAAGGCAAAGGTACTGTAACAGTTGCCTAATGATTCGTTCGTACGATGGCAGACGAGTGGGTCTCACTCCCTCTTCTTGTCTTGCGGGTATATACATGTGTCATTCTTCATACAGTGTGCACCACGATCGGTTGCATGTATCGGTCGGCGGCCGTACATGCAGTCATCACGTTTTTTAGTTAATAAAAACATGAATGATCCATTGAAGCCGCAAGCTCATGGTCAAGCTTTTGGCTTCGAATACTACGGCTTAACTCAACAATATCAACCAGATTCGGCTAAGCAACAACCGACATCGGCTTCGAAAGATCTACATGTAATACATGTAACTCGACGTGTGATTTCCGGACTCGGATAATATCCGTGGACGACGGGCACGACTTGCGATTGGATTTGCTGCTGGTCTTGTTCCACTATGACTGTTCAGCCAGTTCAGCCAGCAACTGATTCTGCTAATGAAGACGGATATTTATCGCTAGACTCCACAACGAAGGACTACAACTACATGCATTAGTATTAAAAGACTCAACAACGAAGGGTAACTGTCCCAGTTGCTTCCGCGCGAAGCGTGTAGGCAGCCTAAAGTGAGCGCAGCAAGCATGCCTGTGGTTTGACGGACCGTTTGCGGAGCACATGGATACAAGCCATGATGTATCATGATCAACGCTATTAAGTATTTCGAGCGGAGGCCAGCATGAGAGTCGTTTTATAAAATAGTCAAGTTGGTTTTAGGGACCTAAATTAGGGCTCATGTTGGCTGTAGAGTCGTATTAATTTCGGGTTTGTTTCGGAGTTTATCCGAATTTAAGATATAACGTAAAATAGGGTCTGTTTCTATTTTTTTTTTTTATAAATCCCGATCCGGTAATGTTGTGCTCTCTCGCTTCCTGCGGTCGAGATACCTCCAGGACAGAAATGCAGCTTTGCGGAGAAAATCGGCGATTCAATCGACGGCAGCGATCCATATCGCACAATACCGCTGACCGTGGGCACGATTTGCGCTGCGATGGAGTCGCAAGTTGCTGCATCGGTAAGCTTTCTTGTCTCTGCTCAGGCCTGACTGCAAAATGCCCAGTGGGCAGCGAAGCATCAGCGCCTTGCCGCCTGCTGTCTATTCGACGCACGCGATCACAAGCTTACTGCCAAGGAGACTCTCGGTCCGGAAATTTTGTCCGCCGTTGTTTAGGTAGGTTCCAACTGCACGAAAGTCCACCAAAATCGCTCCAATGTCGCGGGCGTCGCCCACGAATACAAATGTGGAGAAATGCTTGCCAACCACTCGTATTTCCGTACAGTATTAACGGTAGACAGATTGCTTGAGTTTTCAACTCCCCAAGCAATAGCACAGGCTAGAACGTTTGCATTTTACACATACCTAGATGACCAGCCATTTCAATTGTCTACAGAAACCTCATAACCGAGTAGGCAACTCTCATGTATTAGCATTCACGATATCGACTAGCCCATGACTCAGTGTCTTCAACACTCAAAGGGCTCGATTTGGGCGAAGCCGCGGTTGAGTCTTGCGTGGAAGTGCTGTCATTGTACACCCGCTTTCCGACGAATATTGCTGGATCCCGGTGTGCCGGGGGAAGTTCCAAGAGCAGTTACGGAGTTGACGGCATGATTTGAGCTTGTGTTGGATGTTAGCCACTCATTGATAACATCACCGAGAAACAAACCTTTGTCGCTCTTGTAGCTCGTAAAGTTCCTGTCCATCGTGAAGACATGATGATCACCATCAACGTAAAACGTGGTAATGCGAGGGCTCTTGGTTTGATACGCATCCAGGATGACTGACATGTTCCTGTAAAGATCATCTTCCGACATTAGGTTCGGGAAAGGGTAGCCTTGGATTCCCTCGTCCACGAGAGCGTAGTAGTACCGCTGGACTGTGTCACCTTTGCTATTGATGAACAGCCACTTTATTTCAGGGTTGTCCTCAATAAGAGCTTCAACAAGATCAATCGTTGTCGCGTTCTCAGCGTTGCAGACCGCCGCAATTTCCGAGGGGAAGGCAAGTCCATTCTCACAGCCACCAAAGTAATCCACCAATTCAGGTACCGGATGACTTGCTGGTAAGACTCCAACATAGCTGTCTGCCATCACTGAAAACTGTGTACCCTTGGCATCAACCTCCCACATGTCGGCGATGCGAGCACTGAAAAACTGGGCACCCAGTGATCCAGCACTGGCACCACCTACGACGAGATTGCCAACATCCGGAAAGTTTTTAAGTGCCCAGTCGAGCGCTGACTTGGAGTTGTTGTATCCGTTCATGTACATTGGGAAGTCTTTTCCAAGACACTGCGGGTTGCCCAGTTGTTGTTCAAGGCCGCTCTCGAATGGAGGAAGGACTCTGTTGCCGACGTGAACGTCACCCGTGCAGTATGGCACGAATACCACGTTCCACTCCTTGAACATGTTGTCCACCATGAATCGATCAATAACTCCGGCCCCTCGCACGGTAGCCACGGTGGTAAACAGAGCATTCTCAGCAAGCGAGCACTCCAAGCCGAAGGCACATGTATTGTTGTCCGTGCATCCACCTCCGCCTTGAAAGAAAATCAGCAACTTCGACTTGTCGTGATTCGTGTTCGGAAACACCTGGAAGAAATACGTGGAGTTCGTCGTAAACCCTGTCACAGAGTCCTGGTAGTTGTCGAAGGCGCAACGCGTGTTACCTCCAGGGTAAATAAGCACGCTACCATCGTCGGATAGTGACGACAAACTCTCAACAGTGCAGGCTTCGGAGTCACTCAGCGTGCAGATCGATTCGGCTGTCGCAGGAGCTAACGAAACCAGAACGGAGGCTACGACGAGCAGAATTGTCGCGAAGCAGTAGACCATCGACAAAATTTCACCAAGAGTGCTTCGGAATGCACTTGACGAGGAGAAAGCAGGAATGCCTGCGTAAAGACAACCAGTGCTGAACTATCCTGCAGACTTGAATACCAGGTTAGTACTTCTAAAACACAGTGTTTACACCCGCAGACAAAACACGTGACTCAACAATTAAATGTTTCATTTTACGAGTAGGCAAGCACACCCGGACATCTGACGGTAATATGGTATTGCGATACGGTGGTGTGATGCAGGGTTATGTATGAACAATCTGTTTGTTTACGCGGACGCATGCTTACATGTAATCACATCGTTGGTGTCGGCTCTTGTAGCCTGCAAGTTATTTGCAAGGAATCGTCTCTTAAGACGTCTAGGCGGCAAAAGCAACAGCCCGAGACTCGCACGAGTTATACCGATAAATAATCGTTATTCGTGCACATGCTCTAGGTTGTATGACGTATCCCCCCCCCCCCGATAGCCCTGTATGTTTGCCATCATCCGCAATCCAAGAATACGAGCGTAACGAAAAGGGGAAAGTGTTAATTGTATGCCACATCAATCCCAAGCCGAGTGGAGCGAGACATCCGGGTGCTATTAATTAGGATACACTCGTAGTTCAACCCAAGAGCACAACGCTACAGCGTCACTAGCAGCATGACTACATGTATGATGGAGTTAGCTTTAACGTACGATTGTGACAATCGCCAAGAATTCCGATGTCGCTATTACAGCTATGAGTGTCATTTCTACCTGGTGGTCCAAGGATAAAACAGCACGACAGAGTCTTTGCCGCTCTTCGTAACAATGCGCGCGTTTCAGGCTGACATCGCCACCACATCAAAAGCGTACGGTGGACCGGTGCCTTACCAAGACGAGCTTATTCGCTCGTCCCTATGCTCCCGAAATATTTTACAATAGAAAAAGAGTACGCGTTGGTATTATTGTCTGAATAGAGTTCCTGAAAAAGTACTACTAATCCATGAATTATTAGTAGTACCGGTATGTGATAAAATTCCTTTCCTATAATTACTACGTCTAAAATTATTTTACGCACCCAGAGGGCATTCTTTTCTACACAAATACAAATCTGATGAGCAGATCAAACAGCCAATCAGATCGCAAGATTTTAGCCACTGCTTCTCGGGTTGGTTTTTCTGTAATAAAAGTATTATGCAGACCTCGGAAAATCTCGTCCGAATACGACCCAAAACTAAGTTAACCTAAGGTCTCCACATTTTACTATGAGCCACGTAAATTGCAGCTTTCTTTTTAGATTTCTCTATGGCGTACGTACGCGCTTCAGGTAACCGTTCACATGAACTAACTGTAAATTGAATCTATACTCTACATGTTTTTTTTTTAATATTATGGACCACGTCCGCCAATAAACAAATTGCCCCAGCCGCATCCACAGGGGCGAATCGCTTTTCTTCAATATTGTGATTCGTTTTCTAAATCTTTCCACCTCGTTGCTGCGGGAAGGAGCTCAAAAGGTATCTGTAACAGTGTCGGGGTAAGTTTTGAATATCTAGAACGAATATACGGTAGGCAAATCGTCGAGGTACCCACGCGCTTTGTTTTGCTGCGATGCTGGCAACCGCGGACGCTATCTTAAATAACTAGACCAACGTGGCGTATGTCATCGTCTAATTCGTGACAAGAATGTTTGATTGGTTAAAAATGCTGCCGAGCGCAGCGAAGGCGGCAATGGTTATTGGTTAAAAATGTAAATACAAACCCGTATATTAAATTTAGTCCTACAAGCTAACGGAGTGCCAAAGGTGCGAAGCGACCGTCGCCGTGCCTGCACCGGACCCCGCCGGCGAGAATCGCATCGCACTCCGGCGGTGCGCGTGCTGCGAGCAACTGCTGGAGTGGGATGCGTTTGCTGTGGGGCCGGCGAGCACTGCAGCCCGGCGCTGAATCGTTTGTGCCAATGGGCCGCATGCTGTGCGCCACTGGCACCACCGCCACCACCTCTGAGCCCCGCCGCGATCCGGCTCGCGGTGCTGCAGTGCACAATGCGCCCGCGATCCCCGCGCCAGCCACAACGCCGCCCCCACAGCCCGGTGCTCCCCACCGTCGGCGCCGCCACAACTGGGTGGCGCGGCGGCGCAAGAGCTGCGAGGCGCGCCGCGCGCGTCGGCGCTAGCGCCGGGAGCGTCAAGAGTAGTAATTGGTTAAAAGTAGACCAATAAAAGCACTCCACTGGTAAAACGAGACTGATGACGAAGTGGCAGCGTTCTCAGCTTTCCTACTAAAAGTTGGCGAAGGCCGTCACGATGTTAACACGGTTCTCGGCAAAGAATACATGAAGTTACCGCGCGACATGCTGATTAATGCTGCTACTGAAGAGGAGAACGAAGACGAAGAAATTGCGCCTGGAGCTGTTAGGGAATGAAACGTACTATTGATGAAATGTACGCGGACACCAACAACCCTGACATAGCGACTGATGAATACTTTGCCAACTGGACAATCTTGACGACAACGAACGAAATAGTACGGTGGATTAGCGAGGCAGTTGCTGATCGCCTACCTGAAGTAGCTCGGGAATATTTATCCGTAAATTCGGTGGAGGACGGCGATGGAAGTCTCTTTGAACAAGAGGCCCTTCACTCGGTTAACATCAACGGTATCCCTCCCCATCGCCTGGCTCTCACGAAAGGAATTTCTATCATGATGATGAGGAACTTAAATCCCGACCTTGGACTCTGCAATGGGACGCACCTTCGCATCGTCGATCTAAACCCCCATGTCATTCGTGCTACAATCATGACAGGCGAGCGTCGTGGCCAAGAGGTGCTCATTCCACGGATCATTTTCGTAAGTGATGACCAAACCAGAGATTTTCCCTTCCGCCTGCGAAGGAAACAGTTTCCGGTGCAGCCAGCTTCTGCCATGACTATTAACAAGGCCCAAGGACAGACTGTGTACAACCTGGGACTGTACCTCGCGTCGCCGTGCTTTTCGCATGGACAACTGCATGTGGCCCTCTCCAGGGTTACCTCCCGGACAAAGTTCAAGGCACTTATCGACTACCCAGAGCTGGAGGATCCTGATGGTGTTTAAACCAAAAACATTGTGTACACACAGATTTTCGACGAGTAGGAGTAGTATACCCCGCTACAGCTTAAGATGCTCACAATACATGTTTCGTTTTAGTATATTGTGTGTGTGTGAGAGAGAGAGAGAGTGAGTGAGTGAGTTTACAAACATTAGTATATTGAGTTTGAGACCGTGTCAAGAGTTGTAACCTAAACTAGCGCAGTGGTTAAATGCTTGGTTTAAAGTGCTGAAGGTCACGGGTTCGAACCCCGTACCGACCACAATTTTTTCCAACTACGGATTAGCCCACCTCCGCTTCGCTCCGGTGGGCTGCACTTGCAACTGTGACCAAACATTAAACCACCGCCGCGAAGCGGCGGCGCTCGGCTAGTTATTATTAAGGCCGTGTTCGAAAAAAAAGAAGAAAAAGGTTAAACCACTGGGTTATCAACGATATCATAAAAAAGAGACCATTCTCACTTGGAAAATGGCAACATCGTAGCGGAAAGGTCAAGCAAGCCCGTGAGGCGCGATGTCCACTTCGAGCGCTTTTCAGCGTAAATGCACTCGTGGAAATGATCATATATTAGATGCAGTCCTTGAGTTTTCGTTTTTGTTTTTCGGGGATTGATCTCAAATGCTTGTTAAAGCTATTATTATAGCACCACAGCATTCATTTAAGAGAGCGGATTGTGTGCCCATCTGAGCGTGACTCGCTTTTACGCCGCCATTTTTGGCATTTTACTGCATACTTCGAAAATGTGTGGTTCCCCCCATTCAAGCATTTAGCGAGCGGCGAGGATGAATAGACCTGCACGCCGGGCGCCAAAACGCAGGCATCACGCTACTGGAAGCGACGAGAGCGATAATAGCAATTCAGAAGAAGAGTGGACGATGCCTTCTCGAGGAGCGAGCATCCATACATCGGATACCTCTAGTCAGTTCGACACTCAGAGCTCTCGGGGCGATGAAGGCGACGATACAACAGACACGTCTGTCTCTCAAACACTCGCCCCTCCACTTGAGCGCACGCAGTTTGACTCTTGGGAGTCATTTCATTCTTACTTGAATGAATACAGCGCGATGACGAACCAGGTTTGCTACACTGCTAACATTTAAGTGTTGGCTCCCTGTTACTAACTTGCAAAATCAAAATGTCTTACAGAGTTTTCGCGTGCGCACGAACAACAAGGTGGGAGAGCGGAACAAAAAGATCGCGAAGATGAAGACGAGTGCTCCGTTAATCCCGAACGAGTGGATTGTGTACAACAAGACATTGGTCTGCACGCATGCTGGAAAATACAAGGCGCGAGAAAAAGGCAAGCGACCGCGTCAAGAAGTGAGAGCCACACAGTGTGGTGCGCAGGTATGCATTAGCCATGAGCTCAATGACGCAGGTGGGCTCAGGTGGGCTCATGCAAGCTTTAGGCATCTTCGCCAGGAACCGTCGACAAGAAAATCTTACAGTACTTGCGTTACAGATACTTACATATGTGCATCTAAGTAAATACACGAGGCTACCCAATTTGATGCACGCGTGAAGTGTGATAAAACGAATTGATACATGGATGTTGATGCACTCTCACCCCTCCAAAGCTCAATGTAAACAGTAACTTTTATGCAGATATACATTTGAAACGCGTATACTTTATCAGCTGGCTCTTTTTATGGATGGGCGTCGGCTGGTTGCAGGTGGGCACTATTGTCTCGTCACATTGTTTTCTAGATGGGCACACGAACTCGTGCCCAAAATTAAACCAGACCTCCTTAAAAAAGGCATATAGCGGAATGTGTTATATTAGCTTAATACAGGAACCATAGAAATCTTAATACCGGCACATCGGCGGTTTAAAGCTACCCTGCTACTTTCGCTCGCTTAGTTTGCTGAGTTGGTCGAACTGTTTAGCCTGGAATATACCCTCCAATGCCAATGACGTCAATGCAGTGCGACGGTCGTTCAGCTCCCACTTCAGTACCGAAAAGTCGGATTCGACTGACGCCGTGTTAGCAAATACAGTTGCCAAACCACAGCAGAATTGACGAAGGTGCGAATATGTTTTAGGCTTCACTGCCTCCTCAAGTATATCCCAGCCATCATTGAAGCTCGTGTTGTAATCCTCTTTGTCCAACGCTGATCTTACTGAATCATCAATCTTATTTGCAAGGAATAATTCTCGATGCTCGCGTTCTGCTGCTTCGATTTGGGTAAGCGACCAAAACTTCATCAGCTGAGCACGGCGGGGCTCCAAAATGTTCTCACCAAAATCCCGTGGGTTCACCAAAACCAGTTCTGATGGCATTACTGGCGGTGCAACTTTTTGCGCCGGTTTGTTGTTACTATCTCTCTCTGCTTGTACAAGTTCCATTCCTTCAATAACGTAAACCGCAAACTTGCCTAGTTGCTGAAGAGTTGATTGTTTCTCGGGTAGTGTTAGAGAGTCCAGGTAGTTTCTCACGAAACTTCCCTGATCTTTTACAAAGTTGAGTAAATCTTGCTGCTTTAGCCAAAACTTATCTGTAACTGTGTCATTTATCCCATGTGGGATCATGGAATCAATCCGTGGTTGAATGGACAATAGGCTCCGCAGACCCGCCACTAATCTTTTTATCTCTTTCATGATGAAGATGGTGAAGCGGACTGATGACCTTCAAAATGAGTATTAAGCTGGGCGTGATTCCGTAAGATCCATTCCAGTGCGTTGCCCATATAAAGCCATCTATTGGTTAGCTTCTTTGCAGCAGTGCCCATGTCTGCAATCAATAATTTCTGTCTGCGGAGATGGACGATAAGGTCTTTCGTATTTTTAACGAAGTTTCCGTCGTCTACAATTGCAAATGCTGCTTTCATGACGAGATCCATTTGATGCGCTGCACACCAGACGCGTAAAATTGGATGTGTAGCCTCGTTTTCCAGAAGAGTGACTACACCTGCATGGCGACCGGTCATGGTGTTCTCACCGTCGGAGGCAACTCCAATCATCTTGTCTCTCCATTGGCCATATAGAACATCAAGAGTTGTTGAAATCAGATTGAATTGCACGATTGCAGTGTGGCGCTCAAAGACAGGAATAGCAAGTAAGTGGATGTTAACTAGAACACCGTCAACAGCAAGCCTGAGACGTTGGTCCATGAACGAACGCTCGTAGTGTGTAGATATATCACTTGCAAAAGCAAATGCCCACATGTATGAATTGGCCATGAGCTCACCGATCCGCTGAAAAGAAATAGCAACGAGATACCTAGCGTAGGTACTCGCCAG